TTAGGTGTGTACCGCGCGCTCATATGACCTTAAGCAGTTGCGAGCACCGTAAAACACTTTGCAAAAACAAAAACAAACAAAACATGTAGATAGATAGATAGATAGAATCTAGATATGTATCCTTCCATCGACCCCGTGTAGATCATTATGAAAGTGGGATTTTTCCACGCTGCTGGGCCGAAAGGATACAATATTCTAGCAGACAGACGGAGATACGCAAAACATAAGCCACATAAGTGCAGTACCTCACACAGGAATCGAACATTTACTGCATCCAGTACTGAAGAGCCTAACTATTTCCAGTACCGGTCTTGCCGTAGCATTACCAACAGCACTATGCTGCCTCTCAAACCGGCTTTGAACGGATAAAAAGAAAATACTGCCCCTATTTAACTCTTTCCATGTCGCTCGCAGCATTCTGCGCCATGAGTTGATATTTTACATTACAAGTGAGTAGATCTAAATGTGTCTCGACGCCGTGAAATCAGGCGCTCGTCATTTTTTGGACATATGGAGTAATCGATATCATCTTAAAGCTTGTCCATTTTCCTTGCTTTTGATGGAAGAAGTATATCATTTATCTTGGATACAAGTCAAGATATTGGTGATTGAAGGAGGTGGGAGTCGCCTGATTTCAGAGCTAAAATTAGTGAGTAAATGGCCGCCAAAGTTGCGTTTTTTCCTTAGCTTGAGAGTCCGTGAAAACTGAAAATTTACATCTTGTATACCGTTAATCAACGTTTTTCAGCAAAAATCTAAACAGAAACGTGTTTTTAAATGGGCAAGAAAGGTGTTGATCAAACAAAAAACAAAACAAAACAAAACAAAACAAAAAAACAAACAAAAGAATTCTATAAAAATTCCGAAACCTGCAGAAAAGTGCCAGTTTCTTCACGTTCACTATTTTGACGAGAGCCTGATTTCACCACGCTGTCTCACAAATAGTTGCACATAGAAAAAAAGTTCAGAGAACTAGTGGAGTGCGCACGGCGTTCAATCAAAGTAAGTGTAGTAGTTGTAGTGAGAAGCATTGTTCTCAAAGCGTGCCTCAGTGACAGTTTATTTACGTAGACCAAAGGTTAGCTGACGCCTTGTCCGTTATATGGATCCCCACAGTGCCTCGCCCCGCCTTTCAGCACGTCCTGACATTACGACTGTTATCACGACCACACCTCCCTGGAACCAGCCCACAGTGACTTGGCAAAAAAAAAATCTTTAATACGTTACAATAACTCTGCATGCACGAGGGATTGTGACAGAACGTGACCCGCTGGCTTCAGCTGACCAAGGGGATCACGCCACTCATTCATTAAGGACGCTCATTCTGATCATTCGGCAACTTTTGAAGACACACGTTGTTGTTTTTTTCTTCTTTTTTT